CTCTTGTAATACTTTCCCATCTAATCATGAAACTCTGAGTGAAAATGTAAGGAACAGAATTCGTGTGCCTGGCATACACTCTATCAAGTCTGATTCAGCGTCCTCTAATTCTCATCAGCTTAAATCTCCTGAAAAGATGTCTAAGGCATCAAATATAGCTGAGATTAGTCAACCTTTCCCTCTCCCTTATCCTCACCATTTTAACACAACTAGTTGCAGCTACCAAGCTTTGACTATGAGGCCGCATAATGACGACTTTAACTATGCCCATATTCCAGGCGCACAGTCACATGGACTTAGTCGCCTAAACTTTCAGCATAGTCTGCTTGCAGATCCACCCATTAAATGCCGAAACCCCGCAAACAGACTCCGCCAGCACCAAAACCGTCTTTACAACGCCCCAACTAGTCAATCTCCTAACCCTGTTTTCACTTTCCCGCAGCTGACGGTAATGCCACCAATCAAACTAATGTCAAGTAATGTTTCCTTATCCTCATATCTGTCTTCTTCAGACACCCATGATACCCCAGTTTCCGTATGCTCATCTCCATCCGATCGTGAACTGAATGATTAGCCATGACACCCTGTTCTTTTTCACAGAACATTAACGAGAACGATGAAGGCTATACGCACCGAACACTCTATGTACCAGTCAGTCTGTCATCTAATTTTCATTTAAGCACAACAGAATCACATCATGATCTCCTTCATTTTTCCTTAGCCCTTACCACTGACCGAAGGTCTTTTACTCCCTCCCTTATAAACGCTTGCTCTGAATGCAATAAAATTCCGTATCTTCACTCCTTGCTTCACTTTGTATGCCTTCAATATTGTTGGTTGCCAAGACCTGGCTACCGTCTGACTTCAACGACAGACTGTTAAAATCTCCAGGATACACACAATTTGGACATGACAGATAAGACGGGGTGGTGGTGGCTGTCTTCTTTTTGTTAGTAACAAATTCCACACTGTAGAAGTTGGTGATCTGGGTCGCTCACTGACAAATGCAGTATGGGTCACACTGAACACTAGCCTAAATACAAGGCTTTATTGGGATATGTACACCGCCCGCTCAATTCTGATACTAACACACCGAACCATTTATGTGAAATTTTTGAACACGTCTGTTACCTAAATTTTGACTATAAAATTATAGCTGGAGACTTAATCATGCCTGGTATGCGCTGGAATAGCCTAAATGTTCCAGCATACCCTGATCGTTTTATAAATAGGGTTGAATTCGGTGGATGGACACAAAATGTTAATCATCCTGCACGTAAATCCAACATCCTGGATCTTATTTTCATACACAACATTCTTCCCCTCAGCACTCAGGCTGATAGCGACCAAAATACGGGCATTTATACTTTTAACCTAGCAGCAAGTGGGTCAGCTAAAGAGCGCCATCAGATAATAAAAGTCAGAGACTTTTCAAGGGCTAAATGGAAAACAACGCTGTCCTTTATTCGTTGCTAAGACTGGGATACTTTTATCTCCTCAGCAGACATTGATGTTGTTCTTGTCAGTTTCTACTGTGTAGTCAAATTTTTCTGAACCATCCATTATAATTAAATACTATGTCTTTCTGTGCATATATATATAATGATGTAACGTTATGCAGTGTTTTCGGTACATTTTCATATGTTTATATCTAAAACCCAGAACGTTGACTCCAAGCTTCTGATTTCTTTACAATTTTATAGTACATATATATTTTTACGATGCTGTGACAGACGAGACCTACAAAATGGCTGACTGAAAGTAGTCTTTCATATCATGAATTTTGTTGGGTTGGCTAGCGAATGCAAATACAGTCTACGTTACACATGGTAATATAAAAGAATTTTTTAAAAGAAGCAGTATTTCGCTAGGGTCTATCAGACTAAAAGGTGGGAGGGTGGTGACCGCTATTTAACGGATGTGATGTTGGGGACTTAAGAGAACCACCCTTATATGTGGGAAAGCACTCCAATGCTAAGGCTCCTCGCCTTGAACAAATTCAACAAAAAGAAACATAAAAACTGTCTGAATAACACAACTTGGATGTAAACTCTCTGAAAACAAGTTCATGGTGTGATTTCCCTACTTCAGAGGGACATCTAACTATAGAAATCAGAGCGACAGCATAAATACTACTAAACTTTCGCTTTTCTTCTACATATTTTATGTACTTTGGCATGTATATTTAACTTCTTCAGTATCTATTCCCAGCATTATCCTATGTAGGTGGGAACGATCATCGTCATTCGTGTCTCTTATTTTTTTACTGCTTTAAACTTGAAGTGACCGTTAGTACGTAACACTATAAACTTCAGTGACAATAAATTTTTAGTGGGTTGAAGTCTCCACATATGATCTTATGCCCGTATGGAAGAGTGGATACTTGCTTGGGTGCATTAGTGAGTTAAGTCTCGTAATCGCTAAAGGTTCCAGATGCTCTGTAGATACATCCTATTAGTAGTATGGCACTTTTGAAGTGTACGTTGACCCATAGGGTGTCGTGCATGTCGTTGAGTTCCCTGTTTTCTAGCTGTAGTACAGTAATTGTGTTCAGGAAGTACATTAGGCAGCCTCCTACCTTACCACTGTTCTTGTAACACCGAAAGTGTGTACCAATTGATGCTTGTCTCTTCGTCTGGTATATCGGAGTGACACCAGGATTCAGTAATAATGATTACTGGGGGTTTATATACCAGCGTGTGTGCCCTGAGCGTCAGTAGTTTGTTTAGGATAGATCTAGCATTAATAAGGATTAAGTAAAGTTGAGAGTTAAAGTGGTGTTTGAAGTATTTAAACTCGTTAATCAGATCAAAGTGTGGTTAGGCATCCACTGGTTCCGCATGGTATAGCAACCCTGTGTTGCAATTAGTGTGAGTACCATGTCCACCTGCGTTTATCGAGTTACTATCTATTTCTTTTAGTAAATAATGAGTTTTATTATTGGATTCATTATAGGATGTGGTGGTTCTAGTTTTGGGTAGGAGTTCTTATTTGGTCTATGCTTGTACAACACTGGATGTGATCAATAATTCATTGTGTTCATGTCTGTTTTCTTCCGGATAGGGAGCCGACATTATTGTCACGGGTTCAGATGAGTTAACATCTCCACCAGTTGTTTGGTTAACGCTGCCAGGGATGTGGTGGATAAAGAATCATTGGTACCTTGTGATGCTCATGACTTAATAATCTGCCTATTGTTCTGGGACATTCTAAGTGACCTTACATGGGTTTCGTTATATGCATTGCTACGCTGTGGTTCGATCCCCAGAAGACTTGTTCCCTATACTCTCTCAAAGTTTGTTTGTGTGTCATACTCTGAGGACCCAGAGGGGTTGGTGGCTGAGCCCTGAGTGTTGCCACTTGTACTATTTTGCGTGATAGTGTCATTACACCAGCTACTAGTGTGACTTGGCATAGCATGAGAGCAAGTTATGTCGTTATTTTCCGTGGACTCTATGGCCTTATTTGTGTTTTTAATTTGGTTGTTAGTATAGTTTCGGATATTATTTGCCTTACAGCTTGGATTCTTCTTAGTAATTTGAAAATGTCGGGGATTTTTCATAACAAGTGTTTTATTTTGGCATGTTTTGTTGCCGAATTCCATTTGTATCCCCACGTTTTGCCTAGGGGGGAAGTTGTCGACTTACAAGAGGGTTGATTTCCATCTTGAGGGTATCCAGAGACATATCTAGATCCACGGTAGAGGCAGGAGGGGTTAATTTAGGAGTAAGATTATAGTTCACAAGTCTTTCGGTTGGTGTCGTGTTCTGTGAAGCTATTTTTGTGAGATTTGAAAGGGAGGAGGCTATGAGTTCTACGGGTTTATCTATTTTGGTGACTTGCGGTGTCTTGCTATTAGGTTTAATGAGGTGATCTTTAGCACACCTTTCAATCACTGCATTGTTTGCTACAACTTTTTGTTTTTAGCTCGTGTCCTGTAATAGGATACGTTGTGAATTGGTGAATTTCTCAGCTTCTGTCCGTGTTTCAAAATGAAGGCGTATTGGGCAGCAGTAGTCGTTCTGGCTCCTCTTCAGTCTATGACATTTTGTTTGGGAGTTAGGCATTTTCGCCACCCTAAGTAAGATACTTTAAACCATTTTCAACCCCCCACTATCTGGTATATTATAGACTATCACATTTAGTTTAGTATCTTGTCTTTTGATAACCTCAGTTGTGATGAAGTTTATCAAGGTATCTACCTTGGTTACTGATTCTCTGTCAAGTTCGCCAGGGTTTATGGTCATGGTCAGGATGTTCAGAGGTGCAAGTTCGCGGACCTGTGATTTTTACGTCACAAACCTGTGTTGATAGTTCAGATATGTTGGCCAAATTTTCTGAACATCCTGCACTTATAGCCTTACTAAACCTTGTATCCCGCATTTGAGTCTTTAGCTGTTCTACAGACAGCTTTAATCGTTCTATTTCTGAAGTAAGTGTTGAAGCTGGACTTGGTATCTGAAGTTATGTGACACGTACAAAGGTGAAGTGAAGAGGTTTATGTCAGGACCAGGTGCTGAATTTGTAGAAGAAATGCTACCACTAGTTGTCGGCATATTTTTGCTGTCAGTTCCAGCCCCAGTAGGTGGTAGTGACATGGCAGCTCGACGCTTGTGGCGTATTGGCAAGCTGTGCGTCTCACTTCCATATTTTGTGGGAGTGGTGTTGCTCGCTGTTGCGAGCATATATGTGCTATCAGTCATCAGGTTTACAGGTGAATAAAGTCCCGTTCTTTTGAGTCATGGTTTCTGCGGAGGTCACTACCGACTCGTGTTGTTGCCCTGCTGTCTGACAGCTCCTAAAGTAAGTTTAATTGTTTGCTTATATCCAGTAAACCGAAGGTTGAATATGGATTTTGCATATAATTCAGTAAAATATTTCAAAAGTAGGCTAAATACTCATCGATGCATGCGCTACTCGGATCGACACTAATGCCAATTCTGAAAGTTGAAGAGTGTTCATACAACATACTATTTTGTTTTACTGTACTAAAATCGTTAGTTGTTTCAGTGGTTAATTTGTGTCGTCTTAAGGTCGTCGATTTTTTCTCTCTCAATGAAATTTTTCGCCACCAAAGCTCCGAACGAGGAAGTTTCACTGACAAACAGAGTGTTTTTCAACCCAAAGGATTTTAATGAGAAACTAAAGTAAGTGTCAATTAGTGTTGTAGAATGTATTCGTTTCAGCTGTGTTGCTATCCATACAGCTGCTGAGAAATACATCTTCCGTGGTGGCCCACATGAAGGTGTGCCACAAGGGAAAGTCGCCTTTGGATTGGCCCAGGTTAGTCGATTTTTTGTCTTCAGACATATATATCTTTGAATACTAGCCAGCCATTAAATGCAGACACTAGTCTTTTATATGGAAAAGATGTCAATATAACAAATGCTTAGGAGAGAACTTTTGAATGTCCGCTTCAGAAGTTCGGGTCCTTAAATATTGCTTACTGTAGGCTGACTACATATTACATGATAAGGTTAAGAATGTCATCGTGACGTTAGAAACATACAAATAACTTAGAATAAAAATAAGGCATCCGGCGTTATGGTGAACAAATCAAAAGCAAGCTAAAATTGTGATAAGGGTAATACGTTGCTTTAAGATTAATTTTACGGTGTTTTTTAGTGGAAAATCGCTTATGTATCAAGCTATGCTAGATTGACTTCTGCTGTAATTGATTGTATACATTAACCAAACATCTTAACAGTAGACAAGTAAAATAAAAAACTAGATCCCAAGATTTTAGTGCATAAATTCAGAAATTGACTGGTTTTCATGTTTATACATATTTTCGATGTTAGATCATAGTACTTCTTTAAAATGTGAGAAAGATGTAAAGCGAATACGACATTTTTATTATGCTTTCCTTTGTTCATTTAACATAGGATCTCAGCAGAACATTCGTTGACATTCCATAGTTTTCTAGCTTATTGACTTATGACAACATGCTATCTAGAATAAAGAGACTTGATTTGTTATGAATTAGAGCTAGATGCCGCATTAAGTATGGTGGGAAATCCTAGTATTTTTTCTTTTTCTTTACAGTTGATTTTTTTAATGTTGGTTCAAATTGTTAAGATTATTTCAAAACGTGTTGTAAAATGAGTTGATGTGTAGGATAAACCTAAATTATAACTATCAGAATATTTGAGGACGAATTATCTTTCCCCTTTGAAAATGGCTTTTATGCCAACATATTATTGATTTCTTTAGTCTGGTCAATGATTGATTACTGTTAGATTATTGAGTGAATGGAGGGGTGAATCCACTAAATTCTCTTGTTATTTTTCACGGCTATCATCATTGCTTCTGACCAATATCTGAGGTGTAGTTACGCCTTGTCTAACTGGTCATCTCACCAGCAATTTTAAAACCCTTTTTAGCGTTGTGTGTGGGTGTGATTTTTCATCCTTATTATTATCTTGCGCATTCTCTCTTGCTTGCCATCTGTAACGATAATAAGTAGATGTTACTTTGTTTTTGCAAGGTGTATTTCTCTACTTCAGTGAATTAGCATGTTCAGCGTAAATAGTGCGTAGAACTATGGTCTAGAGTCGTGAATCATGAAGTTAAACTATTTATTTATTAATACATACGCATGGTACATTATGGGCATCAACAGATACCCCAAAAAAATCTCGTAGTGTGTGCGATGGATGAAACACTACCTGGGTGCATAAACCGGATCACGTAGTTGTCTTGACAGGCCACCCCCTGGCCTACAAGGCAGTTGAGTAGCGTCAGGATAAGAACAGGTCCATGCTCCGTTCGGTCCGTTCAGGTTTTTCAGACTATGTACGCCATAGGTTTGAAATGAGGGTTTTCTAGATCCTCTAGGTAGACCTATATGTGCACCAGTCCGGTTGTAAGCACCAAATTTTCGGATTCGCCCTTTCACCTTTTTAAGGTACACCTCTGACACGTGAAGGCAAGTTAGACAGTCAACTTAAAGTAGTCATCGATGCATCCAGACTCCAAGTCGTTTGTACAAGCTGAAGCAGTCAGTCGGTATAATCAGTCCTAACACAAAAGGTGTGGCTCATTAACGGATAAATATATATGCACGTGATTTATTGTTTACCTTAGTGTAATAATCATATAAAAACAAAGAAAACCAAAGAAAAGGTTTGATAATTGTACAAAACTGTGTCAGAAACAGGTGATTTGTTTACATTTGTGTTTGCATTTAAAGATGTTTTAGAGGCAGTTGATGTAATTTTGAGTTAAATTGTTTCATGCAAGTATAATGAAGAGGTGAAATGAAAAGTTAATTAGCTTTGTTTCATGGTTATTCAACGTACTCAAATAAGCATTTGACTTCTGATATGTTAGGAAACAACTTTAATTTGTGAAATTACCGTAATAATATAAAATATATCCATCTCTATTCTGAACTGTTATAAGTTTAAGGACACTTGTGTTTTATTCATTGATGTATTCAGTAGGTAACCAATTTCTTCAGGGTTGCAGTTAAAGTTTTTTTTAAAGAGCAAAAGGAAAGCGGAAACTAGGTCATTTACGTGAAACTTTCAACATAGAATTGTAAGGACAGTAGGCGGTTAATACTGTACCACTTAACTGAGTGGTCCGTAAAAGACTGCGTCTTTCCCATAGTGTGTTCTCAAGTTAATTGCTATAGAACATGCAGTACTCAATACATTTCTGAGAGATTTTGAAAATATTTCACGTATGTAGGCTTTTGAAAGTACTGAGGAAGTCAATAGTCGTTTGTTGTCAAGTACCAGTTAATTGCCTCAAATTAGATGCAGAATAGCGCGTATTTGTGCACTCAGTTACCTTTTGTGTGTGCAAAATGCGTTGGTTTATTATTTTATTTATTTAAAATAGAGACTTTGTACATGGTAAACATCAATAGATGCGTCACATAAAAATAATGAAAAAAGTGAATATAGAGGAACTAAAGATAGAATAAATGAGGGGCGTCATCCAGAAAGCAAGCAAGCATAATTTTCAGGATCATTCTACATTGATTGCTTCATGGTACTGTGGTGAGAGCTGGCTGCTAGCCAAAGTTGGTAGACAGTAATTGACGTCAATGTTTATGTCCCCAATATTGGTGGTGAGAAAATGAGAACAAAGGCTTTGTATAGGCGGATACAGTTAGCATATGGATGATATGACACAGCCACAAAGAGATGCAAGGTTAACTTTCTGTGAGAAAAAACCAATCAAAAGACTGTATTTTCTACTAACAATAATGTACATTAAAATCTATAAATATGTGTTGATTTCCCTTAATAAACGATCTGTTGCCTGGCCCTTGTCTTCTGTCGTTACAGTACATTCAGAAAAGAGAGAAAGAAGGAATTTGCAGCATGTTCACCATTGATTGCGATTCTTGACCATATCTAATGATAACGTTTCATGCCACCGATCCGAACTATCTTTCAAACTCCAGCCAGCGATTGGTGATGCATCAAATGATGCTAACTAACCTTACATAAATATCCTTCATCCCACGGCGCCACGTCATGCGCTGGTGACCTCTGCTTTTCCCATCCATTCCCATGGCTAGCGAACAGAGACCCGTAAGAGATCCTCTGGGATTACATTCGTAGCACATGTCCAAGCCACTGGACCCGGTATTCCCAGATGACTACACAATCACTTGTGACCTCCACAATGTCCAGACACGCTGCTAGACCTCAGAATTACGTTCGCGATGATGTCATTGGATGCAAGCAAATATAAGGAGGCAGCGATAGTCGAATACGCAGAGTCGCTGTACATCCTCAGCTCGGTGAGGCCAGGTTTCACAGGTGTAGAGCAAGACTGCTCTCATATAAGCATTGTAAAGCTGACTTTTGAATGGCAGGCTGACACGGAGAAGACGCTGTAGGTAGCCTAAATTGGCGTATGCCATCCTGCCTTACACTGTTCGGTTAGAGATTTCATCTGTCATGCCTCCGCCAGCACTAACACAACTACCTAGACACATGAATTTGTCGACAGCTTCAAACGTCTCATCTGCAAAGGTGAGTGCAAATACAGGCTGCTGCCAATCTTGTCAGGGTAATTTGCACGTAGGCAGCGCAAAGCACATACCATACTTATAGACATTGATTGCCAACTGATTAAGTGCGACTCGGGTAACCTCCACAGTAAAACAATGTCGTCTGTATGCTCGAAGTTGCAAAGGCTTTCTCCAGGAAGCAGATCTACGCCATCCCCTCTGCACACCTCCTTTGCAGCTGATCCCTAAACGTCATCATTAGCAAAGAGAAGTGGAGAGACTATATAATCCTGTCTAACCCCATTGTTGGTTGAAGGCTAGTGACAGGTAGTTCTGTGTCCTCATTCTGCCCGAGGTGTTTCTATATAGAGCCTTCAGGATGTTAACAAATTTCTGAGGAATACTGCTCTCTAACAGACAGTCCCAGAGAGTAATCCTGTCTGTCGAATCGAAGTTAGCCCTAATATAAAAAACACGACGATTATTGGCCCGCAAAACGTGTGACGGTGTTTTAGAGGGTGACTAAGGGTGAACACGTGACCATTGTTTCCACGGATCATTGCAAGACAGCAGCCGTTATTCTAGACAAGACTAGTAGCAACCCAATACCTCCTATGATCGTCACATGTATTATGTAGATCCTTTGTAAAGGTAGACACAGTGAGAATGTATTTCAGAGTCTTTTGGAAAATCTAGTATTGATTAATGTTGTCTTGATACTTTGTTTTTAAAAAAACTCATGAAACTGCTTGATCTCTGCCAGATATGATGTGATATAAGTAAATTAGTCTAACTGGTCATAATTGGCAACTCAGTCTTTATCTTATGTGAACGTATACAAATTAAGTTAAGATAGATTGACATTACTAATTTCCCAGTGGGAATTATAAAATCGTTGTATAGGCCTCCTAAATATTGATTGTATATTCGAACAGGAGGCATGTTATCCTTGAGGCATTAACGCGTCAGACAACCTAGAATACTTAATGAAGTTAACGGAGCTGAGTTAGTTAGTCAGTCAGTTTAGTAATCTATGAAAAGGAAGTCATTAGCTGTTTTTCTTAGTCACATAGAAAGGTGTTCACATTAGCACAGAAGCATTTATATCTCACCTTCAACTTAATCGCATCGTTATACCTATCTACTTGCTTCTTCTGTTGTACGACTATTGATGATGTTATATTCATATATTCATCTACTGCTTTATATGCATACGTTAGTTGTGGCAAATTAGACCGTTATACGGCAATCCTAGTTTCTATCATAAATATGTTTATTAGGTTTTGATCACGAAGTGACTTCAGTTAGA